TATATATATATATATATACCTGTGAAACACAAGTTTCACAGGTATTTCATTTTTATTTTTGCTGTTTTTGTTTCTTTATATGTTGCATGCAGTTTGATATGAATCATGCCATGTAAAGACTCCAGTATGCAATGGATACACTTCTCAATAAACTAAATGTAAACTATAATATGTCTTCTTCTTTGTATGGATGCATCTTTAGAAAATACAGTTGATCTTTGATAAGCCTGGCTCAGACTATATATATATTTTTTCAAAGAAGAAAACATAAAGGGAACATATTTAAATTAGTCATTCAATAGCATTTTTGAATGAAAACGGTCAAAATGCAGATACAGASTGTATTCGGCTGTGCTGCTAGTGTCCTACATGCTACAGTGGGGTGCGAAAATTTTGGCAGCCTTGCTAAATTTCCTGATTTACCTTTATTCATCATTGGTTGTTTGGATAAAATATATATCATATACGGGACAAACTGTGATATTTGAGAAGTGAAATGAAGTTAATACGATTTACAGAAAGTGTGCAAGTAATTGGTTAAACAAAATTGGGCAGGTGCATAAATTTGGGCACTGTTGTCATTTTATTGATTTTAAAACCTTTAGAACTAATTATTGGAACTTAAATTTGGTTTGGTAAGTTCAGTGACCCTTGACCTTCATACACAGGTGACTCCCATTATGAGAACRGGTATTTAAGGAGGGCAATTGTAAGTTTTTCTCCTCTTTGCATCTTCTCTGAAGAGTGGCAGCATGGGAGTCTGAAAACAACTTTCAAATGAGCTGAAAACAAAGATTGTTCACCATCATGGTTTAGGGGAAGGATACAGAAAGCTATCAGAGATTTCAGCTTTCAGTCTCCACTGTGAAACATTGTGAGAAAGTGGAAGACCACAGGCACAGTTCAAGTCAAGGCTGGAAGTGGCAGACAAAGAAAAATCTGGAATCAACAGAAGTGAAGGATGTTGAGAACAGTCAGAGTCAACCCACAGACCAGCACCAAAGACCTACATCATCTTGCTGCTGATGGAGACACTGTACATCGTTCAACTATTCAGCACACTTTACACAAGGAGATGCTGTATGGGAGAGTGATGCAGAGGAAGACTTTTCTCCACCCACATCACAAACAGAGCWGCTTGAGGTATGCTAAAGCACATTTGGACAAGCCAGCTTCATTTTGGAATAAGGTGCTGTGGACTGATGAAACTAAAATAGTTATTTGGGCAGAACAAGAGTCGTAATGCATGGAGGAAAAAGAACACAGCACTCCAAGAAAAACACCTGCCACCTACAGTAAAATGTTGGGGTGGTTCCATCATGCTGTGGGGCTGTGTGGCCAGTACAGGGACKGGGAAYCTTGTTAAAGTTGAGAGACGCATGGATTCCAACCAATATCAGCAGATTCTGGAGACCAATGACCAAGAATCAGAGACAAAGCTGAAGCTGCTGAAGTCGGGGCTGCATCTTCCAACAAGACAACCACCCTAAACACTGCTCAAAATCTACCAAGGCCTTCATACAGAGGAACAAGTACAACGTTCTGGAATGGCCATCTCAGTCCCCAGACCTGAATATTATTGAACATCTGTGATGTCACTTAAAGAGAGCTGTCCATGATCAGAAACCATCAAACCTGAATGAAGTAGAGATGTTTTGTAAAGAAGAATGGTCTAAAATACCTTCAGCCACAATCCAGACTCTCATTAGAAGCTGTAGGAAGCATTTAAAGAATGTGATTTCTGTGACAGGAGGATCTACTACATATTGAGTTAAGGGTTTTTTTGTGCCCAAATTTGTGCACCTGTCCAATTTTGTTTAAACAATTATTGCACACTTTCTGTAAATCATATAAACTTCAGTTCACTTCTCAAATATCACTGTGTTTGTCCCCTATATGATATATTTTACTGATATTTTTATCCAAATAATCAATGATTTATTAAGGTAAATCAGGAAAATTAGCAAGGCTGCCCAAACTTTCACACCCCACTGTATGATACACGACCAGGTCTGGGCACAAACCCAAACACAAGTGATGCCAAACCATAAAACCGTAACACGTCATAACAAGATGGTTATCTCATTTTATGAGGAAGCTTTATATTTTTTTAATGTTATAGTTACTCATTCTTATAAGAAAGTAGCGTAATGTAACTTAAGTGACATAACACAAGGAATGATAAAATAAACAAGAATCTAAGATACAAAAAAATGTATCCATTCATTATCTTTACCCACTTCTTCCTTTCAGTGTCACTGGTGCCCATATTGTGCAGACACTGTGTGAGGGGCAGGACACGTCAAAAGTCCTTTACAGGGTCATTAACTGATGAGATACAGAAAAACACAAGAACCAATAAGTCAATTCAAAGTTGATTAAGGAAACGAATCTAAAACAAAGAACAAAAATGAGGTTTATGACACTAACATGTTTGTTTGTTTGTTTGTTTGTTTGTTTGTTTGTTTGTTTGTTTGTTTGTTTGATTGTTTGTTTGTTTGTTTGTTTGTTTGACTGAGCCACTTAGGCTGAAATAGAATTTTTTTCTTGGCTTTATACGTGAAAACAAGCTAAAGACTTTTTTTGTCTTATCACAGACACATTAGCCATGCAAAGTAACAAGAAAAGTTAATTTTGGAGTAATGCACTCTGACTGCTGTTTAAAAATTGTCAGTAAAACCTTTATAAAAGACTTTAAGCCCTCTTTCGGCCTTCAGGCACCTTTAAGTTTTCATATCACAAGCAATTTTGTTCTTCTCAAGAAGAAGGTTTCCACTAAAAAAAAAGAAAAAAAAACTGACTGCAGTTACTTATTTAGGTGGCTTTACCATCACACCTTTCTTTCTCAGAATACAAATGTCATTGATTTTTATCAGGTGCACTTCCTGTCRCCCAAGTTCTAAAGATGATAACTGTCAAATGATGAAATCTCATAACCTGTCTGGTAAGATGAAGAAATAAAGCCAACCATAACCTTTTTAAGTCAGACAACAACTCCTCAGTGTGACTAGTGATCTTTATGCAGCAAGAACGCTCGTACTTTTATTGCCCAGTTTAACCACTTTTAATATTTTATTGCATAAAAATTCTAGTTATATTTTGACTTATGTTTATCAAAATAGAAGTGTAGCTATTACTTGACTTCTAAATCTATCAATCTGCTTTTAACATGTTTAACAAACTTATATTATTTTGCAATTATATATTTTTAGCTGCTCTTGTCCGTAACAGATATGTTAGCCACTGAGGATGTTTTTTGTTGGTTTGCGTTGCCCTGCGTACACTTTTAAATAGTACTTAAAGGTTGCACACACTTCTTTTTTTCATGTTGTGTTTGACGTCTTATGCAGAAAGTGTCACTGATCAATATCAACTGCAAGTTCACCCACAAAACAAACCTCCGTCACATGTTTGAGATAAGAAATCTAACTGACTGGATGCTTATAGTCAGTTCAAAATGATTCATTTATTTCTCATGAATGTTTTGTGACGCAGAGAGCAACGAACAACCTTCTGTTTTACGCTTTTTACCCTCAGTATGTAGACCTATGCATGGTGGGAAATGAAAGTATGCAAGAAAATACATTCCGAATTTGCATGCAGGTATAAAT